TAAACCCTGAACTGTTTAGGGTTTAGGGTCCTAAGCCCCAAGCCCAACCCCGGAGGTAAGATAGTCAGGCTCACCCCGGCTTCTTTTGCCGAGCATGTTCGAGCGAATTGCTCCCTGCACAGAACATGTACCTAGACCCCCATTCGGATACAGGGTGTAGGGTTTGGGGATCAGTGTTAAGGGTTTAGGGATTAGCGTTTAGGGTTTAGGATGTAGGGTATATAGGGATAATACCCCAATAAAGCAGCACCAAACGAAAAAGAGAATGGAACATGAAATGGAAGCTGGGATTCTTCATAGGGTTTGTAGGGTAGACACTTAACATTATGCAGGATTTTCAGTATCAACAATACCCTGTACCCCTTTTTAGGACACCTAGCTTTAAGCCTTGTATTTTCTATATACCGAATATAGTATCCTTGAAAAGGGGGTAGGGTATAGAGGGCCAGGTGCAGGGCAGACACAGGATCTATGGTTTAGGAACGAGGGTTGCAGAGTTTAGGGTATAAGTACCAAGAATATGATTTATTTCATTTTGCTGTTATGATTGTGGTATAGCGTACCCTAAAGAAACTTCATTAGCCCCTTAGCACACATGCTACCTCAGGCAGCTCATGTCATTCCAGGGATCGCAGCTTTCATAGAACGGCCTTTTTGAAGGTTTACATCCTAGCTGGCGGGAGAGGCCTGACAACTGTGAGGCACCCCTTACTCTGAGCTATTGAAGCCCAAACGCTTGTAGCATGGGCTGCTTTCTTCTGGACTTCCGCCTACCTGCATGGAGCACCGTGGAATGTGCTTTCACGTAGCAGTGGACACAAGGCTTAAAAAGGAATCCAGGTTCATGAATTCTCTCCATAAAAATTCACTGTAGCTCACCTCTCCGTAAGTAACCCTGAACTCTATAGGGCAGCTCATCTTGGACCTTTGTCTGCCCAAAGCTTTGAGACCCTAATCCCTAATCCCTAAACCCTAAAACCCCAAACCCTAGACCCTAAACCCTAAACAGCTTCGAGACCCTAATCCGTAAACCTTAAACCCCCCAAAGCTGTGTTTCAAGGTAATGGCAGCGGCCTCTGAGGCAAGAGCGGCTTTTCT